AAACAAAGGGAAAAGAAATTTATCAAGTGCACCTCCATCTCTTCTACTACTCATGAGTAATACCAAATAATGAAAACGCACTGCAGGCAAAATTGAGACTTCCTGATGTCCATGCAGTACTTCCAGCTCAAAAAATTCTTCACAGAGAAATAATTCTATAGGGGTATATCGGCAAGAGAAGAGACTCATTGCTGAAAACTTAGCAATGGAAAAAGATAAATAGCTATGCTAGTTAATAAGTATGTCTCTTGGTAGAATACGAAGGAAGTAGATTTGTATATCAGAGAAATTCCATTTTAATAGAACTAGGTCTTAAGATTCAAACTGCCTATGTTCTCATCTACATTTCCAAATTCCAATAAGAGGTACAAAAGCTCAGTTCCCTTTTCCCTGGTGAAATGTTGAGATTATGCAAAGAATACCAAATTTTAATTAGCCTATTACCTATAGCCATAACATCTCAGTGCCAGTGTTAAGGACTGCAATTCCATCGTCAAAGGCTTTAAGGAAATCCAGAATGAAAAAGAAGCAGACAGGCGTTAGAGAGTTTCCAATTTGAGTAAAACAGGAGATAACAGGCACCTGTTCTTCAACAGCTCTCATCAGGATTTCACCAGAGTTTTAGATGCATCATTACTGAGACAGTGAATTTCTTTTAGACATTAAAACAAAGGCAGACGTTGCTGGTGAATTGAGCAAAAAACATTAAAATGTTTTTCAAAGGCTTTACAATTGAATAATAGACCCTTCCATCCTTGCCTAATTGCAGAGAAGAGTCACTTTTTCCCAGGGAATGATATAAGGTAAGTAAGGTGGGGAATAAGTGAAAACAATTTCTTTTAGGTGCAAGTCAAAGCAGGAAGCTTGAAAATACATGCTATAATGGGTATAGGTGTGGCTGGGGGCAGGGGGACAAAACAAAGCTTATTTTACATATACCTTCTCTAGGACTTGATAACTGCACCTATGGATTTGTAGGCTAGGGGTCTCTGTTTCTTTTTACTCCCAAGTGTTCTAGTGTTATCAGATAAGAACATATCATTCACTGCTCTCAGAATATATGTACTGGTAGTGCAGTAATGAATTAGGTCTATGTCAAAGAGAAAGAAAAGGTCTAATGACTCTTCAGCCACTACAACACTTCTCAAAGCCCTTCGTAAAAGAAAGGAAAATGCTATTACTCTTTCACAGGTAGGAAAGCAAAGGGAAAGAGACTGAAGCAAGCTGCCCAAGATGACTCAAGAGGAGTTGAAAAAAACAGATCGTATGTCTAGAACTTCATTTTAAAGATCACCCAATCTCCAACCATTTATACAAAATATGACTGAGATGTAGATGGTAGACAGCACTGCAAAACACCAAGCCCTCTCAACCAAACCTTGCTGTTTTAGTGAAAATTTCACAACTCTGGGTTAAAAATCAGTGAAGGAAAATTAATTCAGAAGTTCATGATCTAGAAGAATTCAAATTTTATCCTCTACACATATAGGCCAGGAGGTGGGTGTACTCAGCTTTTTTAATGAATTAAAATGGAAAGAAGTGGGAAGGAAGAAAAAAGAAATAAATGCTTTCATTAGGGCAAGTAATACATCTCCACGTTTCTCCATTTGAACTACTGACTGGGGAAGAAGGTGATAAAATCCATTAGTTCTATGAGTTTAATCTCCCTAAGCAATACCATCTAACTCCACCTTCCCATGTAGAAATTTTTTTCTGACTCAGGACCTCAAAGGCACCTCAAAGATGTGGAGTTTAAGGCACAAAGCACCATTGGATCATTGGGAACTAATGCACTGCCATATTTAATACTGACAATAGCTTGTATTAAACACAAGCACACACACCTATTTCAGGAAAACACCTAATCCTGGAAACAAAACAAGACTGAGATTACTGCTTTCCTTAATGGTTTGTCCTCTGTTCTCACTTTTCAAAACATCTGCCCAGCCTTAGTTTACTCTTACCCTGGTACACATTCAGGTTTGCTCTGCTACTGTGAAGAATCCTCTTATTCCCAGTGATCCCACAGGAATATGCTGTCATGTCTCTCTCTGGAAGGATTTTTTTTCCACTCTAGTCCTTCTTCTTTCTTTTCATACTTATTTATTATCTTTATAAATTACAGATGCTAAAACCTGGTACAGTATTTCCTTCCACAGTCTCACTGTTGCACAGACGAATAAAACCACCTCCTTGCTCTTAATTTTTACATTCAAGTTAAAAATAAAAGCCCCACTGAGCTGTCTGTTCTTTCCTCTGGAACAATCCTAGCATCACTTCTGTCAGCTGTAGGTGTCCCCATGTGTGTATGTAAGGCTGCCATTGCTTCCTTCTGGCTGTAAAATACTTATCTTCTAGAGACAATTTTGACAATTTTGTTTGAATGACCTCTGTTTGCAGGCTAGACTGTAACTGGATTGCACTGTTTGCTGTGTCCCCCTCTTTTCCCCAGTGTTTCAATCATCACATTAGTTTTAAATTCTAACATCCAAGTATTTGTGCAGCATTCGAAAGGATTTGTGAAAATATTGAAATATGTTGTCCATACCCAATTCTAAACTGTGGAAAGCTGTGGAGAGAGACTTTAAAAGAGGATGCAGTTGACAGGACAAAGGGGAATGGCTTCAAACTGAAAGAGAACAGGTTTAGATTGGATATTAGGAAGAAATTCTTTACTGTGGGGGTGGTGAGGCACTGGCACAGGTTGCCCAGAGAAGCTGTGGATGCCCCATCCCTGGAACTATTCAAGGTCAGTTTGGATGGGACTCTGAGCAACCTGGTCCAGTGGAAGGTGTCTCTGCCCAGAGCCAGGGAGTTGGAACTAGATCATCTCTAAAGTCTTTTCCAACCCAGCCATTCTATGATTCTGTTTATTGATTCTATGACCCCTCAAAATTTCTGTGTAAGGGTCATTTCTCATTGATTAATGTTTGAGATGTCAATCTTCAAGAAATATTACTTTTATAAAATATACTATTATTTATACCAGATGAAATACAAAATTAAATTAAATGCCTTACAAAAGCCTAAATAACACATAGGAACATTTGACAAGTAAATTCACATTCTGAAATGAAATTTATCTACCATAACTGATTTTCTTTAAAACTACGCTGACGTCCATTAATTTCTTCCTACTGCTAATTTTTTTTCTTAGGCTTGCTTTTTTAGATAAATTCTCCTTAACCAATCCAAGATTTTTACCAGAGCTGAAAGAGAACTAGCCTGCTCTGCAGCATTAGTTGCAAAAAAGGTGAAAATAATAGCACAACACATTCCAGAACTTTAAAAATTCTCCAACATCTTTTCAGACTCCTTTTTTAAGGTTCATAGGTTAAAGTTATCAAGTAATGAGCCTTCTGCTTTACTTATTTTATCACTGGCAGATGTTGTTAACATGCTTTGAAAGACTCAGTGCTGTTTATATAGTAGGGACACTGGATCTCCTACCACCATATGGGATTGCTAGGGAGCAAAAAACACTTCCCTCCTACTGTGTGCCACTCAGTATTGGAAGAGGTATCAGAGCTTTTGTTCATCTTTGCATGAATAAACGACACACTTAATTAAAAAGTGACTGACTGGCATAATTTCTTGTTTTTGGCATTACAAAAAAGTAGAACTAATTAGTTAACGCACATACAAAATAAACTAAGAAATTAGAAGAAATAAGCTTTGTCAGACTTTTCTTGAAATCTTAGGAGGTAGAAATTGTGTCCAGAATTGAATTTCCAGACATATACTGCCCATTATGCTTGCCACTGAATTCATCCTAGGTTACCACCTTAATCATTACATATTTTTGGCCCTTACATGAAGGAAAACTACCTAGACATCCTAAGCCATTATGAATTGATGTCCAGCTGGCAGAGAGCTGTGCAAGATTGCTCAGAATGCTCATCTGTCCTATTTATCCCAGAGTCTTGTTAACCCTGGATAACAAAGGACACCAATTTGGACATCAACAATATATCACTTCAGACTATTTTTACCAGAAATATCCCATTAGTGTGCATTATCTTCATATCTTAATCAGTCTTCTTTTCCTCCTGAGACTGCAAAGGACCCAGCTGGCCAACAGCCAGAATATCAAGTATCTCACACACCTATTATCATAATGGCAGAAGGTCATACACTGACAACTGAGCACACAAATGCAACATAAACTAAACTGAGTATTTTGATAACAGAAATTTATGGAGGTTACTATTCTGGTGCAATAGTGACACTTGTACTTTTATTTGATTTGGAGGGGTTTTTTGTACTTCTGGTTTCAATGACAACTCCTCTATTGGGAAAGTTCTTTGATTAAAAAACAAACAAGCAAACAAACCCAAAAAATGCCCCACACTAAATCAAACTTCAACAATGCTTTTTCTGTCAGGCATGCCAGGTCTGCAAATATGCTTAGTCTTTCTGTCCTACATCCTGGTCTGGTCCTGCCCATTACATCTCAGAGACTGATTGTGTCTCTGCCAGACTAACAGGCAATAAAAAGAAATTTCAAGAAGATAAATGTGAATTTTTTCTGACCGCTTGAGATACCAAAGTCAAGGTATTTACATCTAAATTATTTGACCACAAGGATGTCCAGACAACAGAGAGGCAAAATTATTTCTACGGCACAATCCCCCTCCATCTAAAGGAGCCATCCAAATCAGGTTAGAGGAACTGTGATCAGGACAGGTCTCTCCACTGACTACCATGGCAATATCATTGACTTCCTCAAATGTAAAAAGTCAACTTGAGCCACATCGTTTTCCTAATAGCTCACACTGTTTTCAGTTTGCTCACTATGTAGCTGAGGCTTCTTGCATGCCACAGCATCTTGGAAAATATTTAAACATTTGCAAAATACATTTTTTTTTTTTAACTTGAAATGGGCTCTTTTCGGTGCAGGGAAGCATTGGTGGAGAAAAACTAGCAAAACTATGAAGCAGCAATTCAGAAACTATTTGCTTTCCTCACTTACTTCTCACAGCCAACTTCACTACTCTCACCTGTGTATTAGTCCATTCCATTTCAGGAAAAGGTCCCAGCTGAAGGCCTCTACCTGTGGGATTTTCTTCCTCCTGGCCTTTCTGGAAGTACATAGAGACATCTACTCAGGACATGTTCCAAACTCAGATTTTTCATTGTCTTTGCATATGGTGTTTAGTTGTGTAAGTTTGCTTCCCAGGTTTTTTTGTGGGGAGTGGGCTCATTTATTCCCTTGAAGCTGTAAATTGGTGTTAATACACTCTGAATTGCCCAGAGGCTTTATACCAAAAATAAATTGCCATTATATTATATAGTATTAAAAATGTGAGTGCATATTATTGATTATTAGTATCTCTGGATTAGCTATTTATCACTGAAAGAAGAACAAGCAAGTTATATATATTTTATAAGAATTAACACTCTATTACTCTATTATTCCTCTATTTAGGCTAATTTTTAGTATGCAACATCTACCAATCTCTAGTAACTATTAGCAAATTAAGCAAGAAGGCTATAAAGAATAAATAAACATTCTCTTGACAGTCCACCTCTTTCTAGCTAAAATTAGAAATAACCCTGTTGCTTCTAAATTTTAAAATCCACTCTAATTATCACTATGAATTTATGAAGTTTAACAGTAGGAGGCTATATATTTGCTTTTAATGAATGTCAGGTTTGCCATTTTTTTTTGTGAAACAGAAAATCTGTAATGAATTCGGTCTCCCACATAGGCATGAGTCAATGCCATTGTAGAAAACACATGAGTTCTTAACAAACAACAACAATATGGAAGAGCCCTACCAGTAAGAAGACACATAAGGCAAGAATCTCAGTTTTTGTTGATAGCAAAACTACCATATCTGTAGCTATGCATCAACAGCATTTTTACACAATGTTTAATAAACAGAGGACTGAAAAGAATTTCTATAAAGGCCATATTCATTACAATGTTTATGCAATGCTGATCATCACATTTTACTGGGTTACTTGAGAGACTTTTTGTTTCTATTTTAATAACTACAATTTTTAAAAAGAATAAAAATCATGCATCACTTTTGGTGTGAAAGGAAATAAAGATCACCTTGTTCCAAAATCCCCTGCCATGGGCAGGGACACCTTCCACTAGGCCAGGTTCCTCAAAGGTGCATCCAACCTGGACTTGAACACTTTCAGGAATGGGGCATCTACAGCTTCCCTGAGCAACATGTCCCAGTGCCTCACCACCCTCACAGTGAAGAAATTTTTTTGAATTTTCTAAACCTGCCTTCTGACAGTTTGAAGACATTTCCCCTTGTTCTGTCAGTACACAGTGACAGACTTGCAAAATGTCCCTCTCCAGCCTTCTTCTAAACCACCTTTGCATATAAACCCACTACTTTTTTGTATAAGAGGTAACAATTTTTCACTCTCACCTGCAAGATTAAGTCTTTTTTAACATCAAGTATAAAACACAGCTAGTATAAAACCACTAGGCTAAGTCTTTCAGGGAAGTCTCAAAAGTCTGTTGCTATAAAGAATGACTAATAATAGTAAAAAAGCTCAGGGTATAACACTTTTCAGTATATAGTCTAAGGAAAGGGGACTTCTGGCTCTGCTTAAAAAGATTAATGCTGTCATACAGCAATATTTTTAAGAATTGAAGCTTATATTGATGCTGTCAGTCTGCAGGCATCTAGCTGTGTCAGCTAGGAGCAGAGTCCTTTGAGACATGGGAAAATACTGAGAATGGTTTCAGGCTTAAATTCTCTGAGTCACACTGGAGGGTGCATTCCCACCTCAGTGAAGTAGGATGAACATATCTGAATATTCAGTTGAGCTTACACAGAGATAATTTTTACATTAAAAAAAATCTAGAGTAACTTCTTTTACAGTGTAATGGGCAGCTGTGGATTCCCCAGTATCAGCACCAAGCTCACCAGGAACAACCATAAGGCATTTTATGGGCAAGTCCACTGGAGCTGATGCACTTTGACCACAGTAAGCTTCTGTGTACATGCATTTGGTTCTGCAGACTTTTGAGAAATGTGTAGTACCTTAAACACAGATAGAAGAAATGCACACAGAGTAGTAAGCACATCCCAGCCAGAGAAAACATCAAAATCAAAAATACAGACTAAGGAGCACCTCTGTTGAGATCATAGGTGAAAGTTAGGTAAGGAGGAGCCAAGAGTGAGGTTCTGTTGCAAAATGGCCTTCATTCAAGATAAGAAGAATTGCTATGTATAAGGACAAGGATTATAACTGCTGTGCTGTAATCATTGATGATGAGACACCAGAACAACTGTATCATTTTGGGGCATTTTGTTTTAAGACAAGCACTCAAAAAGCCAAAGAAAATCTGCAGAAGAGGAATGTCACAACCCAGGCAAGACTGAAAACAGGGTATTACATAGATCCCTATGTAATAAGTGATCAGTTGTTTCCAACTGAGAGAGAAACCAGAGAAATCACTCCAAATTTGCTGCTATGAAAAAAACCTTTAAGTGCTATGGTGCTGAAACATGGAAATTCTCCAGTCCTTTCCATATCCTACAGGCTTTGACTGCATGAGATGTTTATTCCCTCATAATTTCAGCAACTTTAATTTGAAATCAGATGATTACTTAAGAAGCTAAAAGCAAAAGGCATATTCTTCTGTGCTAAGTTAAAATAAAATAAATACATACTTGCTTCCAAGGTAAAATTTTACAATGCCACTAGTGAATGTAGTGGTTGTAGAAATGTAATCCTCTTCATAAAAAACACCTTTTGAATAAACTCTACTCAAATGCAGGTAAGGTACCATTTAAAACAGAATTCTTCAAAAGCATCAAAATGTGAGCTATAAATGTGGCAACCCTAAAGGTGAGACTGAGTTTCCCAAACAGAGCGGTCTCAAGTCATCAGATGCATTATGGTATTGTTTTGTCTCCAGCTGCTTCTTCAAAGAGGAATGGGCTTATTTCTATAATTTCTGACAGCCATATGCACACCTCAGATCTTACAGGACATTTAAAATAGGACTATATGCCTATCTTAGACAGCTGAATCTCACCCCAAAAAGCCTTTTTTTTATTTAAAGGAAGTAATTTCTAACAGACATTGTTATTCACACAAACTGTTATTAAATGCCAATATATAGTTAAAAAAATTGGGGGGGGCTATTGCATAGAAAATCTAAATCACCTGCTCTTCAACTAAAAATAAAAAAATAAAATTCAAGTTTACTAAATTTTAAGACCTATGGTAAATCCAAAAATCCAAAATCCAATAAAAATTTTATACGAGACCTAGAGCCAAATGAGTTTCAGTGTTGAAATACAGCCCAACAAATATTACCTTCATAGAAGAACATCATGCAGTGCTATAAAGTCATTCATGCCAATAAAAAAATGAGTATCATAAAGTTTTCTGTTTAAAAATGTCTTCAAAAAGAGATCTCATTAAAATTTACATAGTTCCTGCTAATCAGATGTAGAGGCCATTGAAGTCCTGCTATGCAAAGTAACAGTAATAAAATATGAATATAGGGAGAAGAAATGTGCAAGGAAAATGGTGACAGTATTTCTAAATTTAGCCACAAAAAATTGTTGCACTGACAGGAACTTCACTATACTGAACGGTATCTGCAATCACAGTGCTAAGGTCAAGTCTGTTCCTCATGCCAGTGATATAACTACTACAGATGAATTACACAGAATTGAGCATGAGGGGATGAAATTCCATTGCTATTAAACTAAAAATTTGATTTATGTCAGACAATAATAGAAAAGCAAGTTTTAATGAAAAGCTCAAAAATATATAGGAGGCTACAAATTTCTTTTAAAATTTGAGTTATTCTTTTTATCAATTTACAACAGAATAATGAACAGCTGATAGCACATTGGAGACAAGTCCAAAAATACTTTTAAAACAGGCTTGTGAATGAAATTAAAATTCAGGAGCAGCAGATGGGTTTAACTGCTGTTAAATGTGGAGTGGTTTCCAAGAACATGTTGTATGTAATAATAAATAGCCAGAGACATATAGTTTCCCCAGCAGCTTAAATCCTGAGCATACAAGCTAAGTGAGGGCTTTCCAGCTTTGGCTCACTGCAACAGCCTTACATTTTTTACCCTTGTCTACAGCAGGAAAAATGCTTGTTATTAACAACGTGTGCCAGCGATGAGTGCAATTACAGCAGCACTGAGCACAGTTTCACAGGCAGGCAGGTTTAACATAGGCTTTCTGAAACAAGAATAGTTTTTGGCTCTGCTTGCAGGTTAATCACATTCAGCACCAGGGTATCCATTCTCACAGTGGATAATTACGCCAGTGTACCCAGTGCCTCAGTTTGTGCATATGTTTTACATAATAAACATGTTAGAAATTGCCTCCCCTTCCAATTCTTGATCTAAATGTGGGCAGTGGGATGATGTACTGCATCTAGGATTTCTGCAGCCATGCTCTACCTCCACATCTCATGCCCTCTTGGATTTAAGAAAAAGTGAAGTCCCAGAGGTCCAGGATAACAGGCAGCAACTTCTTTGTCTGTACTTCAACCAGTTCTGGATTCATCCCCTAATCCATCAAAAAGTGGCTTTATTAAGTGACAGTTATGATTAGGTTAAAGCTTCTACACTTGCTACCATGTATTATTATACTTGACTGACACAAATACTTGGGACACACAATGAAACTGGAGCTTTGAAACTAAGTGATACACAGAGGCACAGACAAAGAAGAGTTCAAAAGAATCAGTGCAACTGGCAGAGGATAGAAATCTACATCGGGATCAAACTCAGGAGAAAATCACTGCCCCTGTCTCCTGCTAATCCAATTGCATCTGTAACAACAAAAGATTTGTGAGGAACTGTGGAAAAGAGCATCACTGGATTCAAGGAAGCCTCTGGAGTTCAGAGCAGACCTAGGCTATAATATACTTGTGTTCCTGCTTAGATGCACCAAGGATGATTCTGGTTAGCTATTCCATAATACCAGTATCTGCTTGATTCTGTCTTGGATGAACCGAAGGGAAGTGATTATTAGGGGAACAAATAATAGAAAAGAAAGGTGAGATACCAAATGAAAGAGCTATATTAGAAAAGAGATGTCAGGCCTTCATGTGGGTACCAATTATAAA